CAGACGCCGCTGACGAGGCGGCTCGGGGCCGCGGACCACGCGAGCAGCCGCCACCCTGAGGGCCGGCGTGCAGGGGGCCCTCCCGGTGCTCGCCAGCTCGCGGACGCCTGGAAGTCCCCGCGAGACCCCAGGAGCACACCCTTCCGGGGGGAGGCGGCCGGGGGAACGTCTCGGCTGTCTTCTCCATGCCGGGCTCTAATTCCAGAACTTTCCTACAGCTGAGACGGCCGCTCCCCCGGTGTCGGGAGGTGAGAAACGGCCCGCTGTCCGGAGCCGCCTGGATCCCGGTTTTGGGGGAAAAAAACCCGCCGTTAAGAACACGGTTTTTTGGGCCAACAGGTTGTGAGATGAGACTCAGGGGGACTCACTCCCGCGGGCGGGAGGCTCAGGAGACCTCCCTTCTCTGTTTCTGGGAGGGCTGAGGAGTCTCAGGATCACATCGCAAGGATGGCCTCCGGCCCTGCGCGGGCGCCAGTCCGCCAACGCCGACTGAGCCCCACACGGGAGGCGGGCGTGCGGGGTCACCGGCTCCGGGGAAGGGCCGAGACGCCCCCTCGGAAGCTACCGCCCGACCCTGAGGAGGAGGCCACCCCGCCGCCCCGCCCGGCTCCCACGGAGGCCCTGGCGGCCCAGCACTACCTCCGGCCTTGTCAGCCCGCTCCGCGACTCCCGCGGGCTCCTCGCCCGAAGGCCCGTGCCTGCCCGCCATCTCCTCGCAGCTCGCGGGCGCCAGGCGTTTGGCACCTCCGCGGGGATTGGATAAACCGGCGCCGGGGGCGGGGCGTCCTGCCGCACGCCTGCGCAGTGCGCTCCACCTAACATCGAGAGCCGCAGCAAGGGTAACGGTTCCGGGCAAGCGCTAGTGCGCATGCTTAAAGCCGCCCGGCCGCAAGTTCCTGGTAGAGAAGGCGAGGGCCGCCTGCGGTCTTCCCGGCTTGCGATTGGCCATTTGAGTTGGTGACCTGCGCATGTGTAGAGGCCTCCAGAGGGGCCATCCGCACCTGACGTCGCCGGCATTATGGCGAATGTGCCTGTGCCATGTGGGGAGCTGAGTTCGATTCCCGCCTCTGCCAATATTCCTCACTGCATACCTGGAAGGGTTTCCGGTTCACCCACGACTTCGTAGGCGTTCTGGAGTGAGGCCGAGTGTGTTGGCCCCATCTGACTAATCGTAGTGGCTCTGCTCGGCTCTATGCAGAGGAGAGTGCAATGGTGGAGAGAGGCCCTGATGGCTCCCAGTTTGATCCTGAGGCTGGCCCTGCCTCCCCATGGAAATGTCCTCACCCAAGGCAGGCCGAGGGGTTGGACAGTGTCGGGGTCTGCAGGGCGGGTGGGGTGTGCAGATACTCAGGAGCATTCTTCTGGGAGTCTGGGAGGGCTGTGGTGAGGTTGGCTCCTCCTGCTGGTAGTGGAGCAGAGTGTCCTGCCCCGTGCTGCGCGGTGGTCATCCGGCCACTCCTGGGCTCCCTGCCTGCGTGATGGGCGGATTTCACATTTCTAGGAGAGGCAGAGCTCTGGGGCCAGCTAGGGGCTGGTGGACCTGGGTGCAGGCAGTGCAGGTTCCAGTTCCCAGCCTCAGTCTGCACATCTGTGTTGTCACTGTGCACAAAGCCTGTTGTGAGACATTCTACCCCTAGTGCTCCTCATTTGTGGGCCAGGATCCAATCGCGACAGTAATAACCAACCATAAGGGAGCAGTTCTGAGCACTATGTGTTCAAAGCCCTGCTTTAGGAGCCAACTCCAGTTTTCCTGATCTGTAGGCTAGGAATAGTAATAAACAAAAACTATCATTTAATGAGTGCACAGTTCCTATTCTTCTCAGGGTACCACATTATTTCATTTAATCCTCTCCCCAGCTGGACAACGCCTGACATGATTGGGCTTCCCCTTACTAACTCTGCTGTAGCCACTATCAACTTAAAAAGCAAATTCACCTGTTTTATTTCAAAATGGGTTTATTTGGGAATAGCCAAAAGAATTGTAATTCAGGCTATGTGTGCTATGGCAAACTATAAGCAAATCCAGAAAACAAAGGAGGAGAGCTGCTTTTATAGAGAAGAAGGGGGAGAGGGAGGAGCTGTTCTAAAGGAAAGTCCACTTGGAGAGAGTGACAGATCAGGGCAAGAACGGGTTCTCATTGGCTGAGCTGCTGCATTTCTCATTGGCTGAGCTGTGGGGTTTCTAATTGGCTGAGCTGCAGCATGTCTGATTGGCCAGGCTGTTGCTGGGTGGGGAGAGAAGTCTTCCGCCAGTAGTAAAGTAGTTGTACTTCTTGTCAGAGATGCAAACCTCTGTGTCTTTCCTGTTTGGTGTCACTGAGGATGTGTGATACATGTGAGAGGTACCCATACCCCCAGGCATTCCTGACTCCAGTTTAGTTAAGGTTTCTTTTATTAATTTCCACACCACCAGCCTCCTTCCTCAAAACAAATAGGCTCAAACCCACCTCAAACCTTTACAAAGGCTGTCACCTCTACACACCCTACCAAACACACCCTAAGGGTGAAAGGTTGAATTGTCACCTCAAGGCTAATATGCCTTCTGCAAACCCATGCCTCCCATGAAATGGATAAGTTTAGGGTTAGGGTTAGGGTTGATATCGAACCTGAAGTGGGTTATTTTGTTTCCCACCTTAACCTTGTGGGTAAAAGGCACAGTTTCACCATAATCCAGGGAAATTTTAACTCCCTCATCCTCAGTTTCAGGGTGAGGAGAGAGGGGTGAGGGTAAAGGTGAGCAGTTCTGGTTTGGGTCTTGGTTCAGTCCAGAACAGGGTCAGGGTCAGCAGTAGGGGTAGAGGTAGGGGTAGGGTCGGAGTCCGTGTGAGGGTACTGGTCCTGGGTAGGGGAAAGAGTATGGAGGAGTTGTGGGTGAGGGTAAGGATTGCCTTCAGTGTTGGGGTAGCGGTTAGACATTAGGCTTACAGGTTAAGGTTAGGGTTAGGTTAGAGTTAGGGGTTAGGGCTAGGGCTAGGGTTGGGCTACGGATTAGGGTTAGGGTTTAGGGTTAGGGTTGGGGGTTAGGGGTTAGGCTTAGGGTTGGATTGGGGTTGGGGTTAGGGTTAGGGTTAGGGCTAGGGCTAAGGCTAGAGCTGGGGCTAGGGATAGGGCTAGGGTAGGGTAGGGGTTAGGAGTTAGGGTTAGCGTTGTTAGGGTTGGGGCAGGGGCCAGGTATAGGGTTAGGGTCAGGGGCAGGGGCAGGGGCAGAGCTGGGGCTAAGGCTAGGGTTAGGGTTAGGGTTGTTAGGGTTAGGGTTCAGGTTAGGGTTCAGGTCGGGGTTGGGGTTACGGGTCAGGGCTCGGGTGAGTGTTTGTGTTCAGGTTCGGGTGAGGGAGATGGCTGTCGTCTAGGGCGGGGGCTAGGGGTTAGGGTTCAGATTTCAGGGTTCGGGTTCCGGTTAGGTTAGGGTTAGAGTTAGGGTTAGGGGTGGGGTTATGGCATAGGGCTAGGGCAAGGGTTAGGACTAGGGCTAAGAGTAGTGTTAGGGTTAAGGTTTATAGGTTAGGGCTAGGGCTAGGATTAGGGCTAGGGTTAAGGTTACGGCTAGGGTTAGGGCTCTAGTTAAGGCTAGGACTAGGGGTAGGGCTGGGGTTGGGGTAAGGAGTTAGGGTTAGGGTTAGGGTTAGGGTTTAGGGTTAGGGTTAGGGTTAGGGTTAGGGTTAGGGTTAGGGTTAGGGTTAGGGTTAGGGTTAGGGTTAGGGTTTAGGGTTAGGGTTAGGGTTAGGGTTAGGGTTAGGGGTT